TACGAATTTGTTTAAAAATTAAAATATCTTAAGTAATAGACGTCCTTTTCATCTTCTAATAAGACCTTGTCAAATGTTGATCTTTTTCGAGAGAAGGGTATACAACGATATGGGTCAAAACGTTTTTTTGAGGAAAACATTTCAAAACGTCTCCGCTTGTGAGATTCAAACCGGATTTTCTTGTCTCATAATGGTTGAATCTCTTCGTTGCGTACTTTATTACGGTGACGACCTTTATGTGGAAAAAAAGATCACGCCCATTACAGAAGTCCTGCGCTATACGTACCTATAATGTTCCTCGCATAATACTATACTATAATTATTAGATTTAATATACCCGTCGATTTTTTTTAATAAGATGAACATTGCGTTCTAAAAGAAAACACACCAACGTTGGCGATTTCGATATTCTCTCTTCTTACTGCAAAACAAAAAATGCATTGTAGACGCCAGCAGAAAGAATTTCTGAATATGAAAAACGCCAGAATGTGCCGGGTTCCCGTTCAGAAATTAGAAACATGAATACACAGTATATTTCTTAAGTCGCTTCTACTAATAGGTAGATATGGTAATTAAAACGCGTATATCAACCCACTTTGTCTGTATTGTTTTGTAAAAAGTATGCACGTGTTATTTCTCTGACAACGAATCTCTGATCAAGCTGAAATTTAGCATACTTATTTTTATTTACCCGACAACACAATAATCAATTTGAAAAAAAAAATTAATAACAGATTAGTTAACTGTTAAATTAGTTAACTAGTCATGGTAAACTGTGGGAGATGTGTGGATAGGAAATATAAAGGTGCTAATCTTAGAGAGAAAGTGGAGATGGATTGGTCACACTTTTAGAAAAGATACCAGCAAAAGCTAGACAGGCCTTAGAGTGGAACCCCCAGGGAACAAGACGTAGGGAAAGACCAAAAAGAACATGGCGATGCAGTGTACTACATTAAGCATAGAGGACAGGAAAGAGCTGGGAAGCCATTAAAAAACTAGCAAGTGACCGTGGAGAGTGGCGTGTTTTTACTGAGATCATATGTTCAATGAGGAACGCAAAGGAAAGATGATGATGATGATGAATTAATTATTTCGTTTGGTATCTCGAACAAGGGAAAGAAATTGTACTTGTTTGAATCGGTGGTATATGCTGAATTAGTCCCCATTATTGGTCCCCGCTTTAAATTGAAAGAGACAATATATAACTATACAGTCTTCCCAGTCATAAGTACATCACTAGTAAAGTGGTTAGCTCGTCTACCCACTGAAGGCGAGACTTACGTATTTGAATTTAAGTCGTTCCCTTTTTGTTAATGCTTAAAGAAAACAATAACATGAAAGTCCACCCATATATCATTCTTCTTCCTGCTCCCTTTTCTTAAGTTGTGAAGATAATACTTAGTTTTATACTAAATCTAACTATGAAAGATCATCAGTTATTTTTTTTAAATTTTTATCTGTTATATCTAATAAAATATTTTAAATGTATTGTAATAACTTAAGTGAGAAAACTCAACGAGACATAGACGTTTATTTACACGACATCACAGGTACACAAAACATCTTCTATCTTAGGCACAGTCTTTTCACTTCGGCTCTCTACTTGGTCGGAAATCGTTCTCCTCTCTTCCTAATGTTGACATCCTTCTCAGTCTAGTTTATCACAGTGCTCACCTTCTAGCTTAGATGGCGGTGCGCAAGGCAAAGTTATAACAGTATTTTACATTTGGCTTAAATCGTTAAGGACCTCATAACTTTTAAAGTAAGTTATTGCGTGAAAGTTTTTTGCTGAAAGTAAGTCTATATATAAATACTATGCGCTAATGAGTTTTTGACACAGATACATAAAAGGGTTAGTGTGAACAATGCAACATCTAAAACACAAATTGTCAACACAGGTGCGCTTCAGGGAGATATGACATCGCCGTTGGGACACATTTTATACTAAATGATTTTCAATCAGATCGTTCCTTTTAGCTACTGACAACTTTTCCTGATGATTTCCCGAAAACTCTGAAAAATGGGACCTAAATGACTATCATTGGAAAATATTTCGAGGATATTTTTTTTATACTAAACGTAAAACAAGCCAAAATACAACTATAAATCTCAATAATAAAAAGTTATTTCCCTTGTGCGATATCAAACTAAATAATTATTTACCAAATGACTAACTGGTAATTAAAAAAAAATTGATTCAGGTTTTTTTTTAGGTACAATAAATAATTGTTTAAAATTGCAAATTGATCCGAGAATGGGTGTGGGAAAAACAGTGTGAACAACTTCATAAATTGCCCAAACCCTACATATTTAGCCATACCTGAGAATACTGAAGGATTAATTTCCTTTGTTTGCCACAAATGAATTGATTAAAACGACTATATATCTCTAATCAGATTCCCACTTTGTAATTTAAACAGCACCACGTGACTCGGAAAAAAACAACAAACATTCATAATCTTGAATAGAAGCTTTTGGCATAAAAGGTTTTGCATTTTATAATGCTGCTACTTTCAAGAGCAGATATTGACTCCCATAGCTTCTACCAGCATCTTACTTTACCCTCTTTAAATACAGACTGACTAAATAGTTGACTGCATCATTTTTTGATAATCAGAGTTGTTGATATCACATGGCCAGAAAACAGGGATGTGCGTTTCAACCGCTAGCTAGCACATGTTGAAAAGTTTTTTAAATTTTAATAACTTTTGCCCATCACTACAAATATGAAGGAACATTCAAAATATGTAAAACAGAAAAAAAAAAAATGATGTCGACATACATGTGTCTATAACGCTGGTTTAAATTACATTTAATTATTACTCATTATTTTATGTATCAGAGATTTTTAACGACTATGGTTGATCAGCGTTCAAACGCGATTTGCAAAAGGACAACGGTGACATCATACAATTAGAAATGTGAGAACTACTCTAGCTCAAATGGATAAAATAATAAATGGATAAAACGTACAAGCGAAAGGATAACAATCGTGCAGAGGAAGGATTAAAAAACAAACATGTTTAAATAGATAAGTGGAGAAATTAAAGCATCATTTAAAAACTACTTGATAAATTGATAAATTGCTATGCGTACCCTATACTTAAAAAAAAATTAGCTCGTGTGTCAAATCCAACTGATGGCTTATGTTGAGGTGATAATTGCAAGACCGCTGACAGTACTTTTGAGGTGCAGGGGGGAAAAGGCTATGACTGGATTTAAATTAAGCGTTATAGAGTCTGGAGTCAGATGCTCTAAAGAGACGTTCAGGTGTGGGCTGAAAATTAAACCCAGGTGTAGAACTGGTAATTGAGTGTTCTTCTGTAACTTGCCGAACTGATACTTGTGGTACTGGTTCTTTTGGTACTGGCACTTGTGGTTCTGGTACTGCTTTTTTTGGTACTGGTAGTTGCCGAACTGGTACTTGTGGTACTGGTTCTTTTGGTACTGGTGCTTGTGGTTCTGGTACTTGTGGTACTGTTACTTTGGGTACTGGCACTTGTAGTACTGATACTTGCGGTACAGGTAGTTATTGTATTGGTATTAGCGGTACTTGTTCTTGCGGTAATGGCACTTACGGTACTTGTACTTATTGTACAGGTACTTTTGGTACTGCTACTTGCCGATGAAGAGATTCCAACGGAAAAAGGAACTTCACCTTGTAGGGATCGGAAATGAATCTATGTGTGTAGCCGAAACTAGGAAGTAAGTCCAAAAATAATGGAATGTATGTAATAATAAATAAGAATCTCTGAACTACCCAGAGAAAAAGAACGACTGCTCTTAACTGATGAGAATTTAAGCGTATATGTCGCTCGGGTGAAAACAGGAGCTGGGCAAGAAAATATGTGATTGGTCATTCACGTGATATGTCAAGAAAAGTGTGTGCGTGGTCGAGAGACGCTTGAACTTGGCTACCTAAAAATGGGGCTCGAGGTTCGACACCCACTCGAGCAGAGTTGTTTTACTGAGTGCCTAAAGGCAGACAGGAAAACCTTCTCCTATATACCCCTTTTCCCCAACTGGTCCATAAATGAGATTGGACCAAAGCGCTCTGAGCATGCTTTAAGAATGAAAGTCATCATTGGCCTCCTTCAGTCGTAGAACAACTATGGTTCACCTCGAGCACTTTTTCACATGGCTGTGGAGTGCTATTTTGGAGAGACACTTCTGTCGACATATATTGCAGGTCAAGGTGGCGTTCGCTTTGATCTCTGAGTCGAAAGCCTGGGCATTGTCTATGGTCAATTCCCCCTCTCCGCGCAGCTAATGAGACAGTTTGGGATCAGTAGCGCTGCAGGCTCTGTCAGGCTGTAGCACAGTGTGCAGCAATCTACCTAAGGGTCACCAGCTAATGATTTTTATCCTCAAGGTTGTCGCCCGAAGCCTTTCCCTTGTCCGTGTCTAGCCACAAGGCAACGGAGGTTCGGATTCAGAGTTTTCCTTCTCCTACATCATATGTAGTCATAAAAATAAAATTAGGATACTTGTGACAAGTCTGAAAAGTCAACTGGGCGGGCCTCATAACAAGCATGAAAGTAGCGCTATATAAAAGCCATAATTTATTTATTCATTTATTTGTTTATAACATGTGAAGCATGATGTACGCTCATGGCCTAGACAATTTTAGTTTTTATGACGTCTCGCGTTAGAAGTTGAAAGACGATAAGGAAGACAACATTAAGTCGAGATTGTTTATCTGATCATCTGACGAGAAGAGTAACGCGCTAGCTTTCGTTGGAACAAAGGTTCATGGGCGTAGCCAGGATTTTTTTTCGAGGGGGGGGGGTTCACCCCCCCCCGGCTACGCCCATGCAAAGGTTACTAAATTTCTGTCTCTCATTCTTATGAATTACCCAGTTGGCCAAGGGGCGGATTGGCCAGTATGGTGTTGTATACACGGATGAATAAAGGATAAAATGGGCATAAACATTGACCTGAAATAGCGATAAAACACAAATGTGTAAAAGTGCTTAACATGACAATTAGACGAACACAGCTTTTTTAAGAGGTGATAATTTTGTATTGTAATTTGATATTGTGTTCTGTGTAATATGGAAGACAATCATATTAAAAATACTTACAAGCGCCTATAAAAAAATGAATATCGCTTAGTCTATGAAACAAAAGCAACAGAGTTGGAAAGAGAGAATTGTTATTACAACAAAGAGAGAGAGAGAAAGATAGAGAAGACTGTGACTACAACAGAGAGGGAGAGAGAGAGAGAACTTTAACTACAACAGAGAGATAGAGAGGTCTGTAATTAAACAGAGAGAAAGAGAGAACTGTGACTACAACAGAGTGAGAGAGAGAGTGAGACAGTGAGAGGGAAACATCTATCCATAGATTTGCATTTAACAATAGTAAGAATAATAATTAAAAAAAAAAATAAAATAAGGATACTATCTTTATTGTCATTCACGATGGCATTTCAAATGAAAGTTAAACTATTTTTAAAAAGTTATGATATAGTGACAAAGCAATCGTGTTAATAAGTTACCTTCACATAAAAAAAACAACAACAATTGTAAATACATCAAAACGTGAGCAATATTTAAAGAGGATCGATACAAAAAAGGACAATAACTTGTATCTGAATTACGTTGACATTGATTAAAATAGTGAAATAAGACAAAAACATAAAAAAATACCTTTACCAAAATAAAAAAGACTATACCCCTTTTATACAGCTTTTAGATGGATTAATTAATGTTAGATTAAATAACAATATACTATTTTTAACCCCCGCCCACCCACACCACTTTCGCCCGAAAAATGAATCCTAGTTAAGAGAAGGTTTAGGTTAAAGTAGACTTTATAACATTCCAATTGAAGACCTTTTGAGGTAGACTTAGACGATGCGCAAAATTTTCCTGAAAATTAATTTGTTCTTGTATAAATAAAAGCTTACGTATTTTAAAATTAATATAGATTATATTTTTAGCTTTAAAATGATACACTAGAAATCAATAAATAGCGCGAACGCTTTTAACGCTAGATTAATGAGACTGTTTTAACAACACAATCTCTCACGTAACACACGTTATATAGAACAACACAATCCCCATAGGGGATGCTCTGCATACTAACAACATACACATAAACTCAATGTCAACAACAAAATTCATGCTTTTAGCAAGGATTTCAAAAATAAACACAATTGTATATGTTATATATACAATTATATATACCAATGTCCTTACTGACAATCTAGATTATATATAGATCAACTTGTACTTTAATCATTATACAAAATTGCAAGTGAATAAATATTGCAATGGCTACTACAAGATATACAGAAATGCTCCAGCACTTCCTGGACATGTGTTTGTTGAATATGTTAAAACACTATGACCATCAGAAATTTTCTTTCTCTTATCTGACTTACCAATAGTAACTTTCTTGGGGGTGCCATGCGGATGCGACACTATGACAACAAGTTTTTCTGAATTTTCAACATCCCAAAATTTGTCAAAGACTTTCTCATAGTTTTCAATGAACTTTTTAAGTAGGTCATCAATCCGGTTGATTAAGACTTCATCGCATGTTACACAGATTAGTCTACAGATTTGGTTATTTTTATTTTGCAACGAATTTTCAACCATCACACCTTCAAGATTAACCAAAGAACTGTCCTCAGTGTCGTAAAATAACCTGCACTTGGTGTTTTCGGCATCTTCTTTGTTATTCACAACACGGATTGATGTAAGGACCACTATCTCCCACCAATTTTGTGTGTGTTTACTGTTGTTTCTACAATCTGAACAAGGACATGTACCTTTTTGTGTACTTTTAGTGAGTTCAAAAATTCGACCACTTCCAATCTTTACCTTGTCGGAAACAGTAACTATTATTTTGACTGTTAAATCTCCTAAAAGTTTTATTGTGTCAACCAAGTCTTGATCTTGGTACTCCTCAGGGAAGTGTGATGTTTGCAGTTCTGTCACGGGAATGAAACCAGGATGGCCATAATTTTTCGTACATATTTTTTCTGAACTTTCAAAGTCAACCTCATGTTCTGAAATAGAATTCTTAACATTAGATTGAAAATGTAATAAACAGTTTAAGTTGCTATCCTAAATCGTAGCTGATTTGTTTCATGAGTCTGAAAAAAAAACAACGTTTAAACTCTCATACTACTATTTTGGAAATGGATCTTTTCTCTATTTTATCTTTTTTGATGACATGCTAGTCAAAGACTTTTTGTAATATGTACGTTTTACATTTTCCCTTTGACATGAATACCTATTTGTTAAATGTGCACACCATGAAATTTTAGTGCACCATTTCTGAGAACACACCTTGATTACTAGTGCGTATTTTTACATTAGAATGTTTCCTTTCTCTTATAGCGTGAGGCATTTTGTAGATGTTAATTCACCGTTGTCTTTTCTTCGTAGTTGTATATCTAGGAATAAGGCAGTATGGGAAGAATTTAGCACAAGAGCCCAACTAGCTTAGAGTCTTCACTAAGATGTGGCCCAATATTGAGTCGCAGAAAGAACTGCAAAGCTAAGAGAAATCCTGCAACCTCCATAATACGTTTATAACACTTTGTATCATTCTAAATAAAAGATGTATCTATACAGTTCAATCAATTCAAAGGCAAGAACAAAAAAACTGTATAGTTAATATTTTATAGTTTGTTGATTTTTTTTTATAATGACAGATGTGTCAATTGAATACCCAGAAGAAGTCGTCAGTAGAAGAAAGGGTTTAAACAAGGAGAGATGGTCGTAGAGAGAAATGATGCCAAACATAGAAGATAACAGGAAAATGCATACAGGATGCTAGAGAAGCAGATGAAGTCTGCAGTTTGGTAAATCTAAAATTGAAGAGATGCTGCTTGCTAGATAAACGAGACAGGCTTAAACAGTATGTGAAAAAGGTAGAGAAGGCTACAAACAAAAGTCATGAAGAATGTTCATCATATTGTTCGAGGTTTTGCTGTAGCAAAGAATAGAGAAGGCGAACCCGTAAAAAAACAAACAGAAAGAAAGAGAGAAAAAAATGGATGCAAAAATTGTAGAACAATTCAAGGAAACTTTAGCTAAAACGCCTCTGGACCTAATTTGTATATTCCAAGACCGATACTAAGATGATAACCTTGAGATCTGTCCAACTACAACTGAAAAGGATTCTGATGCCATCACATATGAAACGGGTCTAGATATGATGTCAGCGGAATTGCTGATACACGAAGAACAATACAACGTTGATAAAGTGACTTGAACTCCTAAATATGTTCATTTCCCTAATACCATCTACACTTGCGAGACAAGAAACATATTCATAAAACTTGAACATAGACTAAACGTGGCTGAGAAAGATTCTAATAATAGCATTCTGAGATAATGTCACTAATAGTACTAATTCTATCAGTTACATGTTGACAGAACACCGTAAGAGATTTGAGGGACATAAGTCCAATATATCACAAGGCCTGAAAGGGAGAACTTTTTACTTTTATATATGTCACGTGACTAAACCCAGAGTGTCACTAATCCGCAAACCAAAACCAAAATAGTAGAGGCATGTGGGCCAAATAAGATGCACTTGACATTAAAAGTATTAATATTTAAGAAAAAAAAGTCAATAATAATCATAGGCGCAGAAGACGGAGAAAAGACTTCAATATACCTCCAGCGGGCATCGGATTTATCTACATAAGATGTGGCAAAACATGTAGGTGGCAACAGGGTGTGTGTAGTCATTTGAAATCGCCCGTGAGGGATCTCTGTGGAGAACGCAAAGCGCAGGAGAACCTGATAATAAACAATATATTTTGTTCTTATATAAAGCAACATACCAATTTTTTTCTTGAAGGCTTCGACTTCAGAATCCTCATGTTCACTTTCTTTAACACTGGTAAAAGGCTGTAACCTCGACGGAAAAACATCTTGCAAACGACACAAAATGAAACAATAAAAACATTGAAAAATATATTTACAAAAAGACAGTAACTCTATTATACAGCTTAAAATATGATGAAATATAATTAGAATTGATTAAATAAAATGTTTGGTTCAAACCGGGTTTCGAACCTGTGATTTTGACACCGTAAGCTACTTGAACGAACGAGGTTACCAATATCGCCTGTGGGCAACGCACACTTGTGTTATTATTTATTGGCATTTTCATTATGTGGACATCTAGATCAAACGCTAGACCTATACTTCTGGTTTATAACTCGTAAGATCTTTTCTTGCTCTAGAATTCTAGATCAAGAATCTATCTGTGATCTATATTAGATTTACATAAAAAATATCAACAAAGCTTAGATAATCTTTCAATAATGAAATGAAGCTCTTCATAATCTTTGCTAGCAGGTAGGAAAAAGTAGCACTAGATAGATCTACATTGAGAGAGAGCATAAAGGAGGGGTCTCGGATTGCATATACCATACACTACAGAAGCAGTGTATATATTCGGTGGCATCTTTTCCCTTTGCAACGTCTCATGTGACTAAAGAGTTTAATTCTTGATAAACAGCTGCGATCGCAGGTTGGGCATATGTGATCACCAGGCGCCGTTGCATTATCACACTTCTTTCTGGCATCTGCAATCCGCGACCATTCCTTTATGCTCTCTCTCCATGTAGATCTATCCAGTGCTACTTTTTCTTAGTTGCTAGTGTTGATTTTGAAGAACTTCATATCGCGTTTGCATACATCCGTATAACGTAAAAGTGGGCGACCAGCGGCTCTCCTGCCTTCTATTAGATCGCCATACATAATATCTTGTGGAAGTCGACCTACTGACATTCTAGGAACGTGGCCAAGCCAGCCAAGACGTCTGCTGCTGATAACACAGCGGATGTCCTGGCATCCTTCTCTTCGTAGCACTACCTCATTGGTTATCTTTTCTTGCCACCTTATTTTAAAGATCCGTCTTAGGCATCGGAGGTGGAAGACATTCAGCTTTTTTTCCTGCCATGAGTAAGTTAACCAAGTTTCACTTCCGTATAGCAAAGTGCTCAACACACAGGTCCGGTAGACTAGGGCTTTAGTATTGTTAATCAGCAATATGTTGCCCCACACCCTTTCTGCAACCGTGACATGGTGGCCATTGTATTGGCTATCCTGTTGTTAATGTCTTTATCCAGTACAGTATTTTTGGATATGATGGAGCCGAGATAGCAAAAGTGATCCACAATTTATAGTTGTTGGCCGTTAATGTTTATTTGAGGTGCAGTGTTTGTGTTCTGGACAAGTATCTTAGTCTTGCTTTGACTGATGTTTAAGCCGAACTTCTGGCAAGCAGTAGATAGTTTGTCAACCAGGAGCAGAAGCTGAATTACAGAATCAGCCACTATAGCTGCATCATCAGCATACAGGAGTTCCCTGATAAATATCTTCCTAACCTTGGTTTCTTCCCTCAGCCTTGATACATTAAATG